TTTTTTTTTTTTTTTTTTTTTTTTTGGTTTTGATCAACTGATTTATATTAGAATCCAGTTGACAATACAGGGTGTAATATATAAGCCGACGTAATAAGTTAAAATCCCCGAATGCTTATCTATTTTATTAAATCAGAAAATTTATATTAAATCATTACCAAAAAAAAAAAAAAAAAAGATGGAAGATAACATCTTGAAAAGCCTCACACAATCGGAGATCTTGCGAGAATTTTATCCATAATATAGCAAGCGAGAGCAATGTAGTGTAAAAGGACTGAAACTCACCTCAAACCCCTTCCAAGACGAAGAGCCAAGAACTAACAACAACGACCCAAACTATAGAACCAAGAGTGTTAGTTAGGCACATTCGTAATTGGAAGGTTTTGTACCAAAAAAATTAGGCACATTCGTAATTGGAAGGTTTTGTTCCAAAAAAATTAGGCACATTCTTTAGATAGTTTTCCTTGTAAGATTTCAAAAAACTACTGTCACTTATTTAATGAATTAAACGCGGTTAAATAAAATCTTTAAAATTAAATTAATTGATTAAGAAACTAGGATAGAAAACGTTGTTGTGAAATCAAAGCAACAGGAAAGAGAGAGAGAGAGCACTTGCGACCGATTGATTCAATCAAATCTTCATATCTCTCTCTCTCGGCATATTCTTCGAATCTCTGCCCTCAGGAAAGTTCTAGATCTTTCTCAGTTGCCGCAATTCAGAATCGAAGTAGAATGATTTAGTGATCATTCTCGAGTTCTGTGTGAGAAAGGATGCTCCGTTGAGCTGATCGTTTAGGTCAATTAAGGTTAGCTTGAGGATATCTATTAGCTACTCTCTCTGTTGAGATCTGATCGTGGCTTTACACTTGGTGTTTCGTTGATTAAATCTGTCACTTATATCAAACTAATGCTCAAAGTTGATTCCTTTTTTGCTCAAATGCCACTTAAAGATGTTACCTTTGTCTTGATTTCATCATGTTTCGTTCAGGTTGGCTCTCAGTCTATACGTTGTGGGAAGATAAATGATGAACGGGAAGGTTGAGTGCAGTGTATGTCGTAGCAAGACTATTTCCAGGGCCTATGATGATCATAAGATTAGAGTGACCTCAAGGCAACGCGTCCTCAATGTCCTTTTGGTCGTTGGTGACTGTATGCTTGTTGGTCTTCAGGTTAAACCATCTTGGTTTAGATTAAAGCCAATGCCATGACATTTTTTCATATCAGAATCACTAACAAGTTACAATTCTTTTTGCAGCCTGTATTGGTTTACATGTCTAAGGTGGATGGCAAGTTCAACTTCAGTCCTATTAGTGTCAACTTCTTGACAGAGATTGCAAAAGTTGTTTTTGCCATTGTGATGCTTCTAATCCAGGTTTGTTTCTGAATTCACTTTAACATCTATACGCCCTAGTATCTAGGTGTAGTTGATACATGTTTCTTCTGTCTTATGAGATAAGTAACTAGAAGTTCATTGGCTATCTTTGAATGTGAAGGAGATCTGACTCAGTTCTTTGCATAAAGACGATTTTGTATATATCCAAACTACCATCTACTTTTGACTCTCTCACTTTTCCGAGGATGGGTCTATTAATACTTAATTGTTTGTGTTCAAACTGTAGGCCAATCACCAAAAAGTCGGAGAGAAGCCACTTTTATCTGTTTCAACATTTGTCCAGGTACTTTTTCTTTGTCAGTTAAACAGAGTCTAATCAATTAAAGAGCATGTACTAGATTTTTTTTCTAGGGCATATTCTCCAATTTGAAGTTAGTTAGCTTATTGACCTGTCGTTACCTGATCGCTTTGGCATATGCCCATACACATATCTCATCTGCGTATCACTACCCTTTTTAACACAGTTCATTGAGTCGGTTAGATTTTGGAATGTGAATGTTACCGCCCAGAAGATATTATTCTAAGTAACTTGAAACTTCTAAGTTCAGTTGGTAGACTGTTTGTAATGCAAATCGCATTTACATGTCTATTTTGCAGGCAGCTCGAAACAATGTGCTTCTTGCTGTTCCAGCCCTGTTGTATGCAATCAATAACTACCTGAAGTTCACAATGCAGGTACATCCACTACCACTTGTTCTTTTTCATTTTGGCATACGTAAGTCTATTCAAGCTGCTAAAATGTAGGGAGGTCTATCTAAGGTTTTGGCTTTATGTGAATAGCATGTCCTGTGGTGTTGTCTTATTTCAATTTTGATTCTGTGTTTTGTGACTTCCCATCTCAGACATTAATTCAATGCACCCTAAACAAATGACTGATTGCTATTTTAAAAGAAGAAGTATATAGGCCTCTCTTTTCGTCTTTATCTTCTTCCGTACAAACTGCTAATCACTGCCTTATATAACAAGTTTGTCTTTTGGTGATACATATTTGAGTCGGCTAGCTGGTAACATCATTCTTACATTGTGCGTTGCAAAGGGTTTATTTAGCTGTTCTTCTAGGCTTGACTATTTGGTTCTATCTTTTATTCTTTCATGTATTTTAGTTTCAGACAATACTGAAACTCTCTTCTGTGCCAGCTATATTTCAACCCTGCTACCGTGAAGATGCTTAGCAATCTAAAGGTTCTGGTTATTGCTGTTCTATTAAAGCTGGTAATGAAGCGGCGGTTTTCCATCATTCAGGTGAGGACCATGAGGTTCAATTATTCGTCTTTGTTGTATGTGTATGGTTTTCAGTATCAGACAATACTGTAGTGGAAATTTTTGTGTAGCCTTCCATTTAAAGTTACCTCTTATTCTCGTGTGGATTTTGTATGTTTTCATAACTATATTGCTCAAATCCTGCTTATCTTTAATTTTGTTATAGTGGGAAGCACTTGCTCTGTTGCTAATAGGGATTAGTGTAAATCAACTGCGTTCTCTTCCTGAAGGTGCTACTGCCATTGGCATTCCTCTTGCTACGGGTGCATACATTTGTACCATTATCTTTGTAAGTTCATTTTTCCTGTGCTTATTGTTTTCTCATCTTGAAGTTGAAGGTACAAAGTGGTTCCATGTTCATAATCTACTTTCTCATGCTTCGTCGTTACTGCATTATGGAACAGTTCTAATTCAAGAATCATGCTAGAGGCTAATATTAAAATTCACATGCAGGTTACTGTTCCATCGATGGCATCTGTCTTTAACGAGTATGCTCTGAAGAGTCAGTATGACACAAGCATATATCTTCAGGTTAGATAGTCCTGATGCAATTTAAATCCTGCACTAGGGACTGATATGCATGTAGTAACATGGAGCCTTTTGTGTTATCAACGGAATGGAATTAGCCATTTTCACGTGTAGTTGCAGTCTAGAAGCAAAGATCCGTAGGTTGCTGAATTCTTTGTTCTGTTTTCTGATTTAGTTAGCTCAACTTATGGCAAACGTTCCTCATCTTAGGGTACATAGCTCAGGTTTTTAGCAATGTCAAATTCTAGGATCATGGTCTTCTACATCTGTATTCTCTTCAGTTCTTCTCGTTTGTCTTTTTGTAGTTGTCTTCTGATTGGATATTATTTTCTGTTGCAGAACTTGTTTCTTTATGGCTATGGTGCGATATTCAACTTTCTTGGAATACTAGCAACTGTTATATATAAAGGTATGTGCATATATTTTAAAATTGGCACGGAAGAAAGTAATACGTTTTTAGCACCATGATAGCTTTTGAAAATCCTACTAGATAATCCTGAGAACTTCACGTTGCATTTGCTTAGAAATTTATGATTGACAGGTCCTGGCAGCTTTGACATCCTACAAGGACATTCGAGGGCAACCGTGTTTCTAATAATGAACAACGCAGCACAAGGGATTCTATCCTCCTTTTTCTTCAAATATGCAGGTAATTATTTAGACCAAGTTTTGTTAGATCCATTAGTTTATGTCTTGGTTTGCATGAGTTTATATCTGGAGGATGTGGATTTTGTTATTTACAGTCAAGGTTTATAGCAGGATTGTTCTAACATATCTTTGATGCTTTCAGATACAATCTTGAAGAAATATTCATCCACAGTTGCCACAATATTTACCGGGATAGCATCTGCAGCACTCTTTGGACATGTTATAACCATGAACTTTCTGCTTGGGATTTCAATCGTTTTCATTTCAATGCACCAGGTAGTCTCAATCTCCACATGAACCATATCCTTGGTGAATCAATCTAACTTACAAGCTCTTATCTGTGGAGTTTATTAATCGTCTCATTTATGTATAGTTCTTTTCACCCCTTGCCAAAGTGAAAGACGAACAACAACAGAACGGGAGCCTAGAACTAAGCAATGCAAATGATACTCACAGGTTAGTATCAATGCATACTTCTTCATCAAATCTTGTTCAGCCATCGCCATATTTACACCATTTAACTTCTTTTCCTTCCTGCTATTTTCCTCAGGGCTGATGACTCATTCATCAACATGGCCGCAGGAGCAAATGAAGAGGTGAAGAATGATAAATTTGCATTCTTATACTTATCTCATGTGACATTAATGATCATTGTCTTTTTTTCACTGTGTGTCTGTTCAGGCTACTCACCGCGGTGAATCAGACGACAGAACGCCGCTTCTTCCCAGATAAAAAAAGTGTTTCTTGAAAAGAAGGTCACAACTTCTCACCCAACTTCATATTAAACTACCTTTCAAGCACTCAACAATCATCCATCATCTACGATAGTTTATTACCAAAGAAACCTCTAGTCGAGAACCATGCTAGGTTGCAGAAATTGTGTATTTCTCCACTATAACAGTATATGCTGAATGTTATTATAAGGAGAGTCATCAACTACTTGTGTACCTCGTCGCTACAGGATTTTTAGACTCACAAGCAGTATGTTCCAGGTCGCATACTGGCGAAGCAAATTTTGATGAGACCAACTCTTTAGCCTCTCAAAAGTCGGTTTAAGTTCGTGGAAGAATTCTCATGTCTATAGATGTATTGTCTTTAAGATAGATTGAGCAAACTTGGTTAAGTGATACATAACATTTGTATTCTTTGGTTTTTGCGAAATATCAGGTCACTTATCTGCTCTTGAGACTGTTAGTACTAGGAAGAACACACAAATATATAGAATACTTTTATGAGAATCAAAACAACTCCACCAAACATAGAAGAAGAAACGATAAAAAGACTTTGAAAAACATATTTGTATATGATAAGGCAACACATGAAAACAGAAACCAATATCTCAATATTAAACAGAAGAATCATATTGCCTGTGATTGAACAGCTACTGCTGTTGATGACCTCAATAATGGTTGTAAAGCTTTTACCACAATGCTCATGTTCGGCCTAAATTCTGATTCATATTGCACACACAACGCTGCAACAGCCGCGAGCTGAGACAGACAAAAGAAAAAAGAGAAGAAAATACTCCATGATTAGCTTCACAAGTGGTAACAAAGGTTAGAGATGAAGCTTTTATATATAATATACCTTTGCAACTGCTTTAGGAGGATAGTCTCCTTTGAGTTTTGGATCAACACATTGCTTCACTTTGTCTTCACTCAGCCTTGGAGTGGCCCAAGTGACAAGACTTTGTTGGCCACGAGGCATTGTATGATCAACAGGTTTTCTACCAGTCAAGAGCTCCAAAAGCACCACACCAAAACTATAAACATCACTCTTCTGTGTCAGCTGACCAGTCATCGCATACCTGCAACAATCAAAACAGTACAACATAAGAATCTTTTCTTCCTCAAGAGCATTACAGTGTTGTTTCAGAAGCATTTTATTACTCTGGTGCATGGTAACCAAAGGTTCCCAAGACTCTTGTCGAATGAAGACGAGCAGCCATGTCAGGAGACTGATTCGACAGATTAAAATCAGCAATCTTGGCTTTAAAGTCTTCAAAGAGAAGCACATTGCTAGAACGAATATCTCTATGTATCACCACAGGCTGAGCTTTCTCATGTAAATACTCAAGTCCTCTAGCTGCATCAACAGCGATTCTCACCCGTTGGATCCAATCAAGAGTTGGACCTGGCCGTGCTCCCTGAACTCCTTTCCTCCCATGTAAAATATCATGCAGAGACCCCATACTAGCAAACTCATAAGCAAGAATCCGAAGGTTCCCTTCAACACAGTAACCAAAGAGCTGAACGAAATTCTCATGCTGAAGCTTAGAGACCTTCGAGACCTGAGTCAAGAACTCAACGTTTGACTCAGGCTCAGCTGCATTGTCAAGCTTCTTGACTGCCACAGCTTTCCCATCTTTCAAAGTTGCATAGTAAGCTCTTCCGTAAGATCCTTCACCAATCAAAGACTTTGATCCAAAGTTATCTGTCTTTTCTTTCAACTCGTCTAATGACAATGCAGGGACATCGATAGATGGTGGCTCCTTTAAAGCAGCAGGCTTCAAAGCAACCGGTGCTCTTTTTTTGTACCCTTCAATACAACAAACACACAGAGAAAATGAATATCCTTATTGGCTCCAAAAGAATCATAACTAGTTTGTTTGAGAGCAAAAGAGCAGTTACCGTAATCAATATGGTGCTTAGGGCTTCTCAAATGCTCATTTACAGAAGCATGGTAAGGCTCTTCGACGTGGCAAGCACAACATAACCACCTACGCATCTTTTCTCTCTTGCCTATGTAAAGATCGTCCGAAGCTCTCGGTTTATCAAGCCTAACAAAGTAGACTGGTGAACGATCGTCCACCTGCAAATGTCATCATCATTATACACTCGCAAACATTCTCCTTTTTTCATATCTAACCAAATCAAAAACAGAGCCAAAAGCACGTTTCTTCAACTAAACAGAGAAACAGTTTCGTTATTATGGTATGGAGACTTCTAAATATGGGCTAAAAGTTGAGACCTTTATACAAAACCCACGAGCACTGCTTAAATGTCAGTTTCTAGATACTGTACGAATAAAAATGAAAGTTTTTTGGATATGAAACTTACAACGAGACCACGGCGATGGTAATCAGAATCCATGTGATACATACCCATAATTATAGACGGGTAGAATCAATATACAGAGACAAGTGGGGGAAGGAAGATACAGAAAATGGATCAATGAGACCCCCACAGAAGAAGAAAAGATTTTGAAGAAACAGAGATAAAAAGAAGAAAACAGCTAAGAGAATGTGTTAAAAGCAAAGAGAGAACAGAGAGGAATGATCAAGAATAGACACTTGTCGTCACAACAAAAAAAAAAACAAATTTAGATAGAATGAAAGAAGAGAACATATACCTGTAAAGTCTATCTCTTTCTCTTTTGTTGTTCTGTTTTGCTGTTCTGTTTTGTTTGTTTTGCTGTTTTTGATGTTCTGTTCCGTTGGTTAGAGAGAAGAAAACAGACGTGTGGAATGGAACTAAAATTATAGGAGAAAAGCTTTTGAGCAAAAGGACAGAGAGATATGAGGAGACAGACACGCAAACGCGCTTCTTCTTCTATAGCTTTTGCTTTGCTTTCTATCAACATCATTTTTCCATGGTCTTTAAGTATTTTTCCTCTTCCATAAACATTCTTTTAATACACACTATGATTTTTGGCCTAACCAAGGTCAACTTAAATCACAGTCTTTTACGTATTTGATTTCGACCTAACTCGGTCTCTTTAATCTGCCTTGTTCGACCTTCCTTCCACTACTATTCTTCTCTTCCACTTCTCCATGCTGTTTCAGCCCAATTTAGCCCATTATAGGCCTCAAACTATTTTTAAATATTCTACTTCCCACCTTTTTTGCGTTACTGATTTTTCTTTTTAATATTTCGCGCGTTACACGTTCATGTATTAAAAATTCTTTTTTTTCTTCTTTCAAATTACTTACTTCATTTTTAGTTTGACCAGTAATATTTTTTTTGCATCACAGTGGTAACTTCAAAAAACAAATTAATTATTTCAGTATTTCAATTGATAAATGGTACTCCCTCCGTTTTATATTAAGTGTCGTTGTAGAGAATTTTTTGTGTTATAAAATAAGTGTCGTTTTCGGTTTTCAATGCATAATTTATTAATTTTATTATGTAATTTGTTTTTCTATTGGTTAAAATATGGTTAGGTGTGTGGGTAATTGTGTTTTTATATAGGAAATATGTAAAATTAATTGTTTTCTTAATCCGTGTGCATAGCTGTAGAGTGACACTTATATTAAAACAGAGGGAGTATATTTTATTAATCACAATGTTAAATAACATTTTATAAATCATAATGTTAGTAGCATTTGAGTTTTGTTTATAAATATCACTCTCTAGTTTCTAGATTATGAAGACAAATTTGACCAGTGGTTGAGAACGTGAAGACAGCAACTAACACTCTCTCTTCTCTGATCACAATACATCAAAATGACCTCTCATCAGAGAATCTTACCTTCTTGCGATTTCATTTTCTTTCTTTTTCCAAGCTCTTAACTACCAATCTCTTCTCCACATATTCAAGAACATATTGCGATGGTAATGGGTTTCAAATTCGAGGAGATTAAGTCGAAGAAGACTTTTATTGGACTTGGATTGGGACAGATCCTCTCCCTTCTCTGTACTTCTAATGCCTTTACATCTTCTGAACTCGCCAGAAAAGGTTAAAGCTTCTTCTTGTTTGGTTTGTTACCTTTACCTAGCAGCGCAGTTTAATTAGTTTATGGGTTTTGTTAAAGTGATTTCCTAATTTATACCATTCTTGAAACTCTTTGAAATATTCTTTAGGAATTAATGTTCCAACAACACAATCGTTCCTTAGTTATATGCTACTAGCAATCGTCTATGGAGGTATCATGCTATACCGAAGACCCACAATTAAGGTCAGCCATTTGAAGCTTCTAACTTCACTCACTGGAGTGATGAGATTGTATTCAAGATTGAACTATTGAGTTTCAAAATTGTTGTAGGGCAAGTGGTATCACTATTGTCTCCTTGCTTTAGCTGATGTGGAGGGAAATTTTCTTGGTAAGCCTTCTTGTTTATTAACCTTGGGGGTTATTGTGACAGTGTAAATGAAACGGCTTTAGAGCTTAGAAATGTAACTACTTACATCACATTCTTGTTTGCTGTTGTGGTGCAACCGTGAAAGTATTATGTTATATTTTTGACAGTGGTGAAGGCTAATCAGTACACATCGATAACGAGTGTGATGCTACTAGACTGCTGGGCCATCCCTTGTGTTTTGGTGTTGACTTGGGTTTTCCTGAAAACAAAATATAGACTGATGAAGATTAGCGGTGTGGTTATATGTATCCTTGGTGTTGTTATTGTAGTCTTTTCTGACGTTCACGCAGGGAGCCAAGCAGGTTACTTCTGCTTTTCTTAATTAGTATTGCGCCAAGAAGCTCTGATTTAAACATATTATGGTGCTTGCTTCTTTTCAGGAGGAAGTAATCCTGTTAAAGGAGATTTTCTTGTGGTAGCTGGAGCAACCTTATACGCTGTCAGTAATACCACCGAGGTAAACATGTCTCTTCAAATTGCTTGCATGGAAAGTCAGACACTTGAAAAGCGTAACCTATAACAAATCTCCTTGTTTCTTATGTTATAGGAGTTCCTTGTGAAGAATGCAAACACTGTTGAGCTTATGACCTTCATGGGACTTTTCGGTGCTATTATTAGTGCCATTCAGATGTATCCTCCACACTATGGTTATTTCATGTTTCTTAGACTTATAATTGCACATTCTCCATGGAGTTCCTTGACTTGTCTATAGAGCCATATTTGAACGTGGTGACCTTAAAGCTATTAATTGGTCAGCTGAGGCTGTAAGTTTCTTGCTGGATCACTTTCACTTTCAATCTCTACAAACCAAATTCTTTTTCTTTTTTTATCAGTACAAACTTTTATGCTTTCAGGCTTTTCCTTTTCTTAGATTCGCAGTCACCATGTTTCTTTTCTACTCACTACTCCCGGTTTTACTCAAGGTATGAAACAGAATATGATCAAAGCTGGCTTTACACTGTGTTCCCCATGTCAAATGCTTCTGAAACATTAACACGAGATATGATATTCTCAGACCAGTGGTTCAACCATGTTCACCCTCTCGTTACTCACATCAGACATGTGGGCAGTTTTGATCCGCATTTTCGCTTACCATGAGAAGGTTAGCTCACTTTGTAACTCAAAACATACAGGAAACTTTCTTACACTTTCTGTCTCTAAAAACCAATAGATGAGACTATGAGAGACCATTTGGGCATGTATGTTAATTTCAGGTTGATTGGCTATACTACTTGGCATTTGGTACTACAGCTATTGGACTGATCATATACTCAATGTACAGTCTTTTTTGTCTCGTCTTTCTTTAACTATCTGTTCTACAAGCATGGCTTTGTCAAAATCAGTATGTTTTCTTGTTTTTGGTGATATTCTCAGGAAGGAGAAAGATGAGGAGAAGCAAAAAGATGAGCAGAGAAAGCTGTTGGATGAGGAGGGTGGTGAAGAGATATAACAATATTGACTCATTGGCTTGTGAATCTGTTGTGATATACAATTGGCAACTGTAAAGAGAAAAACTGCCTTGTGTAATGTCATTGACTTATTGTATTGGCTTGTGAAGTTTTGGACTGAGACAAATTTGTATTTTATAGCAACAATTGGCAATTGTAAAGAGAAACAGGGCTTTGTTTGATCTTTGATCTAATTGTAAAAAAGCACAAAGCATATCACTTTGATTAGTATTTTCATCATGCTGAATGAATTCATTATGTGTAAACATGTACAGTAAAACATTCAATCTAATTAAAAAATTATATTCCAAAACACAATAACTCTACATAAAGTATGGTAGGACCCTTAAGCTTTATTACAGCTAAAATTAATAAAAAGCAATGATATCGACATTCCAAATTAATTATATACTAGATTTTGACCCGCCCTTAAAGAGGGCGGGATAACAGTTTTTGCTTTAAATTTATGCACTTGTTCGATTATTCACAAGTATGTATAGGCATGCGTATCTCGGTTTAGATAGATTGTTGATAATAATTTTGGTTGGTCCGACATAGGATTGATTTTTTATTTGTTTTAGTTGGATAACAAATTTTAGGGACCCAATAAAATTATGAGTACCCGTAACCCGATAAAATTATGAGTTCTATTCGGTAATCTAAAATATTGATTTGTAATAGTTTATATTTTGAGTTCAAACTTATCTTTTTATTAAAAATAAATAATTTTAGGGTAAATATTACAAACAATTTGGTATTGTCTAATAAAATAAATAAAGATACAATCGACAGTTTATTTTTAAAAATATGGTCATAAATATTGAAATTGTATTATATAGACAGTATGTGTTTAAAAAAAAATTGATTAACAAAACAATTATATAAGAAAATAACAAAAAAAATCAAAATATAACTGCGAATGATTATTGCAAGCCCGTAAATAAATCAATACATCATATTAAAAAATCCATGCCAACACAAATATACCAACAATACCCCTTTATTATATCTTGGACTTATACGAAACAAAGATTTGATAACTATAAAATTATATGTGTTAAAATTTTGTAACGTAATACATTTATAATTGTGTTGAACCACTAAAATTAGTGATATGTATATATTTCTGTTCGGATTTAACTAATTCACCGTGATTTAAAATTTTGATAAAACTTGGTAAGAATCCATATTCCGTTAGTAACATGTCATCTGGCACTGATTGACGCGTGTAAAACTAAGAGAAATTTAGTGATTTAAAAAAATTGATCAAATTTTATATATTTTTTAAATGAGTACATGAAAATGAATAATATATTTGATTTTTGATTCTTTCCTAAAAGAAGTACTATGTTGTCTGATAAAAAAAAAAGAGAGAGAAAGACGATAGAGAACACCAAAATATATCACGCGTTTTTCAGTATTATTTAATTTTTATTATTGATAATTTATTACTGGTTTTTATTTTTAGTTTAGACTTAAATTTTATTTTTATGATCGCTATTATTTACTTGGTAGAAACCGTGATGTAGAAGGAATATGTTAGATATGGTTTTGTGTATATTAAAAATAGGTTGAAATATTCATTTCAAACTTTTACATTCAAAAAATATTTTATGCATAAAATTTTAATTAACATTCAAAAAATATTGAATGAATCATAAAATATTGAATGAATCAAACTTTTACATTCAAACTTTTACATTCAAAAAATATTGAATGAATCATAATTTGGTGTATTTATTTGATTTTAACTGTAACCAAAAATTTATAAAGAAGTTCAATTATAAAAACTTTATTTTATGTAAGATGTGAAATATTTATTGTTACTTGATAAACAAAGATTCACTTTCTAAAATAAATACTCTAAGTAAGAATATATTATTTCAATCAAAGATGCATTTAATAAAAAATAATATTTGTTAGGTTAATTAATAGGGAGGAAAATAGTGTTCCTAAATAATAACTACATCTAATAAGTTAAATATTAAATATATTTATTTCAATGGCACAAAAGGTTTGGTAGAAAATATCCTATTTTTTGTTCACAAATTTAGATATAAGTTCAAAATTTTGAATTTGTTCACTAAGGTGGTGTTATTCAATGATGTATTTTAAAAGAGTTTAAATCTAAACACAATCCACTGTTATTCAATTAATAATTCTAAATTCTATTTTAAAATTCAGTGTTATTCAATCTATGATTAGAATTTAGGTTTTAAAATCTGGTGTTATTCAAGTTTTAAGAATTTTAAAATTATGTGCAATATAAATGGATTTCAAATCATCATTAATGGAATCTAATGAATAAATGACTAAACTCAAAATCCAAGGACTATTATAGAGATTTTAGAATCTATCTACGTTAACAATCTTAAAATTTAAAAATTTGATGGATTGCAAAATATCTACAATTGATTTGAAATTACTAACTGAATAACACCCCCTAAATATACTTTCGGTTTTGTTTAGTTTGTTTGCTTTTTTTTTCCTTCATGTGATTCATGTTTGATACGTAATTTATTAAACAGATATATTTTGTTATTTATCAAAATTTTGTTTTACTATTCTACCAGACTAAAATGGCTCTGCTTATCATCAAGTTTAAGAGTTATCTCCATTATTAAAATTAATAAAAGAAACCTATGGCAGAAATATCTATAAAACATAGTATTACAAAAAAAGGTGCAATGTTAAAAGAAAATAGTTACCTTATTAGCAGCAAAAATGTCATTATGGTCAACTTGAAATTATGGATTATTGGTCGTCTTTGGCATAGTATTCTTACCATTCCAACCCGTCAAGCCTTTTAAATTACAAATCCTTAGAGGAGATTATCCTTCTTAATTTTCATCTCAAACTGATAAATCAAGTAAAACTCATGAAGTTATAGCTAAATGATTTTTTGTTAAATAGGTAAAGATACATCATAATATATTACCATTTTGTATGGGAAAAGTACTTCGATATACCATCTGTTTTGAAAGGCTTCACGTCGGAGAGGTATGATAACTTTTGTGTAATTTTCATCATTTCTGTGCTATTTTTTTGAATTTTGTGTTAGATGAATATGGTCGGATATCTTGTATATAGAAAATGATAGGTATAGGTTACTAAATGATAGTGGAATATTTATGATTACCGTAGAGTAGTATATTTTATGAATATTCCTCGCTAATTGTTTTTTCCGAGCTTATATATAGGAAATATAAGATTTTGAACAAACTAAGATAATTTTATAAAACGAATATAGGAAATAGAAAATATTACATTTGTTTGTTAGGTAACATCTTTGAGAATTTTCTTGTTCAAGGATAATCTCCTATTAGTTGCTATATATTCGGTTAGATTTACAAACTGGTTTTCAAATATAATATTTTGAACGAAATATTGGAAACAGAAGATATTATATTTGTTTGTTAGTTAACATTTTTTTAGGAATTTTTGGAATATTGGAAACATGAGATATTATATTTGTTTGTTATGCTATTAGATTTTTAGTTTAAAATGCAAGTTATTATATTGCAAAGATATTTGAAATTAACTCTTTAATACATTGAATTGTTGTTTTAAGCAGCTAATATAATATTTTGACCAAAAAAAAGAGCGGCTAATATTATATAAAATAAAAAATGTATGATTTTGTATATCATTATGAAAATATACGAAATCACTAAATATTTGTCTTTATTTGTCTTCTGTAGGTTTTTTTAACTGTCTTCTGCAGTTTCTATTATGAATTTATTATTGTTGATCGTAAGTGTTGCTGGAAACTTTTTACTTCACTATGTACAATACCAAAAATATGAACAATCTGTAGTCTGTACTACGTTAGTTTTAAATCAATACTTTAAATAAATGAATACATCATGTTATGGAAACGTTTTATTTCTTTTTTAATTTAAAAAATCACTTTAATATAAAGCATAGATTAAAATATAATATAATGGCATTTGGTTGTAATTACTATTGAAAACCAAGGATACCTCAAAAAAGGGCCTTGTGTTTTAATAGTATAGATATATATATATATATCTCGAAATTTTTAATTATATTTCAATCTATCTTGAAATTCTTTTGACCGTGATCAAATTCATCCTCATCCTCACTTACGGAAATATATAACATACTCAACTAAGACTAAGACTAGTCCTAGGCATTCGGATTTTCGGGTTATTCGGGTTTAGGGTCTAGGAACCATTTAGGAACCGGACATTTTCCGGATCGGTTCGGTTCAGATAATGTCGGGTTCGGGTCCGGTTTCTATTTTTTTGTAAAATCCAAAGTGGAACCGTATTACAAACCGAAAAAATCCCGAAAACCCGAGTTAAACCCCGGAAAACCCCAAAAACTATTCGGGTTCTTCGGGTAGTTCGGATTTTTTAGATATTTTTATTTATAAATTATAATTTATCTATATATTAAAATTAAAAATAATTAATATTTTTAATATATACAAAATATTCGGGTATCCGTTCGGTTCTTGGTTCGGTCTCGGTTCGGTTTCGATTTTTAAGATTTAGAAATATAGGAACCGTTCGGGTTTCTATAATTTTCGGACCAGTTTCAATCTTGGTTTTTTGAGTTCGTGAGTGGTTCGGTTTCAGTTTTATGGATATGGAAGTGGTGGATACAAAGGTGGTTAGTCGAGAGAAATTGGTGGTTGTCGATACAGAGATGGAGGCTGTGGTAGCGATGGATACTAGAATGAAGGTTGTGTGGTTATGAATATAAGATAGTGGATACAATGGTGATGAAGGTGGATACTCTAGAATAGTATGGATGGTGGATATGGTAAGTAAAAGTGGAGAAACAAGATGGAATGGTAGAGAAAAAAAAAAAGAAAAAATAAAACAAAAACAATTAAAAACTATTATAGATGAGAAAGGGCAAAAAAGCCAAATATGAGGCTCAGAAAGGTGTGAAAGTGTCCCTTAGACAAAATGTGTCTTCTTGTATAATAAAAGATAGAAAAAATGTCTTAATTGATAACTCACTCTTAGATAATAAACAAGATGTCCATCGTATCACTTAACTTTTAAATAGAAAAAATAACATCGCAGCAAATGATCATATAAGTTGTGTTTTCATAAAATTTGTAAGAAATAATGAACGGTCAGAATTCAAGAAAAAGCGAAGATAATAACTTTAGTCAGTATAAACTTGAGGAGAATGTTACAGGTCATATTTAAAGTATGGGCTTTCCACGCCTAAGC